GAGAGACAGAGAGACAGCATGAGCAGGGGAGGGTCAGAGAGAGAGGGAGATACAGAATCTGAAATAGGCTCCAGGCTCTGAGCTGGCAGTCAGCACAGAGCCCAACACGGGGCTTGAACCCACAAACCGTGAGATCATGACCTGAGCCGAAGTCAGACGCCCAACCGACTGAGCCACCCAGGTGCCCCTCCTTGTCTTTAACTTTTGACAATTGAATTGTGAGATGTCTTGGTGTGGATCTTTGGATTCGTCTTTTTTGGAATTCTCTGGGCTCTGGATGTCTGTTTTCTTTTCCAGGTTAGGGAAGTTTTCAGTGTCATTTCCTCAAATAAGTTTACTGTCCCTTTCTCTTTCTTTCTCCTTCTGGGACCCCTGCACTGTCAACATTGATCCTCTTGATATTGCCCATAAGTCCCTTAAGGTATTCTTGTTTTTCTTTTCTTCTCCTCCTCCTTTGCCCTCCCTTCTCCTCCCCCTCCTCCTCCTCCTCCTCCTCCTCCTCCTCCTCCTTCCTGTCTTCTTCCTCCTCCTTCCCCTCCTCCTCTTCCTTTTCCTCCTCCTTCTGTTACTGCTTTGGTTGGATGCATCCCACTGCACTGTCTTTGACTCCACAGATCCTTCCTTCCTCTTCACGTAGTCTGCAGTTGAATCCTTTTGTTGTATTTTTTCAGTTCAGTTATTGTATCCCTCAGCTCTGTAATTTCCATTTGGTACTTTCTGATGTTTTCTGTCTTGTAGTTGGAATTCCCACCAAATTCCAAGGTTAAAGAGAACCTCGGTGAACATCTTTATGAAATGAACTCTTTATCAGGTAAAGCACTTATCCCCATTTCATTAAAATGTTTTTGGGAGGCTTAACTTGTGAGGAAATATCTTCATGTGCTTATTGACCATTCATGTATCTTCTTTGGGAAAATGTCAATTCAGGTTTTTTGCTTAGGCTTCAATTGGGCTGTTTGTTTTTTTGTTGAGTTTTAGGAGCTGTTTCTATATTCGTCATATTAGCATATGGATATCAATCGTTTGGAATGTATTCCTCTGTTTTTTCATTTTCCTTGCTCTGTTGGTTTCTATGCAATGGGGAAAACAGCCACCTCTCCTAGTCTTGAAGGAGTGGCCTGGTGTAGGGAACGAACCTTACTGTTCAACCCTTCCCTAGGTCCCTTCCCTAGTTCTTAGTTGTCTCTCAAACCTTTTTGACTGTCAAAGCAGCTTGCTTTGTTCTTAACGGCTCCCCATAGTTGAGGGTGTGCCAAGATCTGTCAGTGCCCCAAAGGGGAGGATCTTAAGTCTGCATCTAGATTCAGGCAGACTGGAAGCCTGACCTCCAGGCAGCAGCTTAAATAGTATGCAAATATTCCCGGTTCAGGGTAAGATGAGAAGATGATCGGCATCTCTGTCTGCTCCTTTTACACTGAGCCCTGGGGTGATAGCCAGTTATGAACTATTTCTTTGTTTGCTGCTGTCCTGTTGAACCCATAAACACAAGCCCCATTGGCCACCTGCTTTTGGTTATTTTGGGTATATACCCAGAGTGGAATGGCTGGATCGTATGGTAAGTCTATTTTTACTTTTTTGAGTAATCACTGTACTGTTTTCCACAGCGGCTGCACCATTTTACATTCCCACCAATGGTGCAGCAGGTTTCCAGTTTCTCCACATCCTCACCAACACTTGTTATTTTCTGTTGTTGTTGTTTTTTAAATAGTAGCCATCCTAATGGGCATAAGGTGATATCTTGTTGCAGTTGTTTTTCTTTTATTGTGTTAAAATACACATAATGTAACATTTATCATCTTAACCATTTATTTATGTCCATCTTAACCATTTTTTACAAGTGTACAGTCCAGTGGTATTCAATACTTTCTAGGGGCACATGGGTGACTCAGTAGATTGAGCATCCAACTCCTGATTTGGGCTCAGGTCATGATCCCGGAGTCAAGGGATTGAGCCCTGTGTTGGGCTTTGCGCTAAGGGTGAAGCCTGCTTATAATTCTCTCTCCCTCTGCCCCTCTTCCCTGCCTGGGTTCACTCTCTCGCTCTCTCAAATAATAATTATAAAAATCTTCAAATCCTTTCTAGTGTTGCACAGCCACCACCATCATCCATCCCCAAAACTCTTCTAAAGCTGAAACTCTTTTAAGCTCTATTAAACAAAAATTCCCTGTCCTCCCCTCCCCCAAGCCCTGCAGTCATCATTCTATTTGCTGTCTCTATGATTTTGACGCTGCTAGGTACCTCATATCAGTGGATCACACAGTATTTGTCCTTGTGTGGACTGGCTTATTTTACTTCTCACAATGTCCTCAAGGTTCATCCATGATGTAGCTAGCGTGTGTCCCAATTTCCTTTCTTTAAAAGATAGAACAACATTCCATTGTGTTATATGCCACATTCTGTTTTTCCATTCATCCATTGATGGACACTTGGGAGGTATCCATGTTTGAGGTATTGTGAATAATGCTGTGAATTATGGGTGTACACCATTATACAAATATGGGTGTACAAATACCTCTTCAAGACCCTGTTTTCAATTCTTTGGGGGCGTATACCCAGAAGTGGAATTGCTGGATCATATGGTATCTCTATCTTTAATTTTTTGAGGAATCTCCATACTGTTTTGCCACTGTGGCTATACCATTTTACATTTCCACCAGCAGTACATGGAGGTTCCTTTTTCTCCACATCCTCACCAATGCTTGTTGTTTTTATTTTAATATAATAACCATCTTAATGAGTGTGAAGAAGTATCTTATTGTAGTTTTGATTTGCATTTCCCTAATGATTAGTGATGTAGAACAAATATTTACAGGTGGCTTATTGACCTTTCATGTATCTTTGGAATAATGTCTATTCAGGTTCTTTGCTTATGTTTCTATCTGGTTGTTTGGGTTTTTTGTTGAGTTTTAGGGGCTCTTTCTATATTCTTCATATTAGCACCTGGATACCCATCAGATATATCATTTGAAAATGTTCCCTCCCAAACTGTGGCTTGTCTTTTCACCCTGTTGAGTGTGTCTTTTGATCCACAGAAGTTTTTTTTTTTCTTTTTAATTTTGATGTAATCCAATTTGTCCATTTTTAATCCCCTGGTATTTCTTGATCCTATCCAAGAAATCATTGCCATATCCAATGTTCTGAAGCTTTTCTCCTATGTTTTCTCATAACATTTTTATAGTGTAAGCTCTTACACTTAGGTCTTCAATTGTTTTTGAGTTACTTTTTGTATATGGTGTAAGGTTAAGTGACTGACTTGACTCTTTTCCATGTGGATATACAGTTTTCCATTTGCCCTTTCTCCATTGAATGGTTTTGGCACCCTCCTTGAAACCATTTGGCCATATATCCACATATTTCTGGGCTGTCTATCCTGTTCCTTTGGTCTCAGTGTCTATCTTTACGTCAGTACTACACTGTTTTCGATTACTATACTTTTGTAATAACTTCAGAGATTTGAAATCAGGAAGTATGAGAATTCCAGTGCTGTTCTCTTTTTTCAAGACTGTTTTGGCTATGGGGGGGGGGGGTCCCTTGAAATTCTGTATGAATTATAGGATGTGTTTTTTCAATTTCTGCGTGAAATGCTGTTTGGATTTTGTACAGATTGTATTAAATCTATACGTCACTTTGGGGAGCACTGACATCTTAACAGTATCAAGTCTTCCCATCCATGTGTGTAGGGTGTCTTTCCATTTATTTGTGTCTTTTAAAATATCTTTCAGCCATGTGTTATAATTTTCAGGGTACAGTTCTTTTACCCCTTGGTTGAGTTTATTCCTAAGTATTTATTCCTTTTGATGCCACCGTAAATGGAATTTTGTTTTTATTTATTTTTTATTTATTTAAAAAAAATTTTTTTTAATGTTTTATTTATTTCTAGGAGAGAGAGAGAGACAGTGTGAGCAGGGGAGGGTCAGAGAGAGAGGGAGTCACAGACTGAAACAGGCTCCAGGCTCTGAGCTGGCAGTCAGCACAGAGCCCGACGCGGGGCTCGAACCCATGAACCGCGAGATCATGACCCAAGCGAAAGTCGGACGCCTAACCGACTAAGCCACCCAGGCGCCCCGGAATTTTGTTTTTAATTTACTTTTGAGATCATTTGTCGTTAGTGTATAGATATTGCAACTAATTTTGAATGTTGGTTTTGTAATTTTGCAACGTTGCTAACTTCATTTATTCTAACAGATTTTTTGGTGTAATCTTTAAGGTTTTCTACATATAAAATTATGTCACCTGCAAATAGAGGTAATTTTACTTCTTTCTTTTCAATTTGGGTGCCCTTCTCTCCCTTCCTCCCACTCTGGTTAGTTAGAACTTCTGGTACAGTGTGGAATAGAGGTGGTGCAAGCTGGCATCCTTGTCTTGTTCCTGATCTTAGAGGAAAAGCTTTCAGTCTTTCACCATTGAGTATATTACCCGTGGGCTTGTCCCATATGGCCTTTATTATGTTGAGGTACATTTCTTCGGTTCCTAGTTTGCTGGGGCCCCATTTTTCCTTTTTCTTCTGTCCTCAGCCCAGATGGAGACCAGTCTGTCCTCTTCCTTCATGTAATGAGCCTTCCTGCATTTTAAGGTCGACACCTGAAGGAAGTTTCACGCTCCCTTCTTCAGAGAATTTCCCCAGAGTTCCCTTCCCCTTTCCATTAATCTGTTCACAATGCTGACCTTTGTTGGAGTTGCATGGTGTGCCAGGCAGGAGCATGGTACTCTTCTGCGCACAGGGAGTTTTCACCCACGTTGTCTCAGCCTTCACAGGAGCCATCTGAACTGAGAATGATCTCTGCTTCCATATCCAGCAGCAGAAGTGCAGATGGGCCTGCTCAAAACCCAGCCAGCTCCTATGACTCAAGGCCCTGATACATTCATTTCTCTGTCCAGCTGCTAAGCCATGTTGCTGGTCCATGGGCAGGTGCCTCCTGTCCCTCCTGAGCCGGCTGTGAGAGAGGTGGAAGGGCGCAGGTCCAAACCCTAAAGTCTGCTTTCCCTCCTTGTCTTGACAGAAGTCCTGGGCCTATGTCAAGAAGTGCAAAAACAATATGCGTCCGAACCGGGGCTTGGTGGCTCAGCTGTTGGAGTGGGAGAAGGTTGTCCTCGGAGACTCTGTCACAGACATCTTGGATCCACGCTACTGATCTTCTCTATGGCCCAGCTATGGGTCCTGAAGCACCTTGTCTGGGGGCTTCTTGTGGGTCCTGCGCCAGGCTGTGTAACCAGGCTGGTGTGGAAAGAGAAGGCCTTTGCTGCCTGGAGTCTTGTGTCAGCCTCCTGCAGTGTTTTTTCACCGGCTGCTCGTTCATGCCACAGAGCAGGCGAGACTCAGCAGGACACCCCACCTCCCACCCCCCATGCCTGGGTCATCCTGGACTACCCCTCCTGCACTCCTGAGGTTGCCTCGGAAAAAGCATTAGGCTGTCTGAACAGCTATCCCACATGCCCCGGTAACTTGGACCCTTTGGAGGCCATCTGGGAGGAGTTCCAAGGGATCCCCCTGCCTTATGTTGGTCCACAGGGATGTCACAGTGCTCACCTATGGGGCAGAGATCCCCCAGTGCCAGAGATGCCAGGCCCAGCCTTGGCCCAGGTGCCAGGCTCCGCAGTTCTGACAGACTCCTGGCACGGGGCACACCCTTGCCTCATTCAGGGTCCTAGAACTCCCCAGCCAGTCTGGTGGTTCCTTTCCTTCTTCCCCAGTCATTTCCTCCTGGCTGGGCTCCCCAAGAAGAGATTTCCACCCCTTCTATCTCCCACATCCTGCTTCTAGAAATTCCTCAGGTCTTAAGGGGAATTTTCCTCAGAATGTGCTTCCAAGCCCTGGCAGCACCCACAGCACAAGTCAGGAGAGGGCACAGATGATGGGGCTCACGGGGAATTTAGGGTGTCCGTGTTCATTTAGCAAACATTCCTGGCCACCCTCGAGCGGCTGGGGAGGGGCCTAGAGGTGAAGGCCATCTCACCCTCCAGGACTCTTTGCAGAAGGGTGGAATTGTCCCGCTCCCCAACGGAAGCCCAGTCCCTCAAGGAGAGGGGTTTTGCCCGACGGATAAGGGCTTTCCAGTCAGCTCAGGCCGGAAATCCGTTGTTAGGCTAGGAGCTGGAACAGAGTTTGGGAAGACTGCAAGCAATGTCTCTGTGGGTTAGGGACCTCTTGGTAGGAAGAGCAGAGCCGCTGGCACGTTTTCAATGGGGCCACGGAAGGAATGGGGCCAGTCGTGTATTAGGACTGGCAGTAGGGTGGCCCCTGCAAGGATGGATAGTAGCGGTGAGTCCGGAGGCGGAGAGACCGTAAGGCGGCCACTGTAAAAATCCAAGCCAGAAAAGACGCTGGGAATCCCCTTCCTGAAGAGGCGCTGCTTTCCCAAGGACGAAAGTGTTTGAGGCAGGGGTCACCTCCGTGGGCTTCAGTTTACTGCCAGCTTGACGGACCACGCGGCTGGCACGATCCGTGGAGCCAGAGCCGGCGACCGGGTAGTGCTCCAGCCCCAGTAGAGCTGCAAGCGGCTGGGAGGGCATCCCGGCAGCAGTGGCCCCGCCCGTGCCCCGCCCAGGGTCCGGATTGGTTAGGGCAGGGGGCGGGGCCAGCGCCCTGGTAGCTTCAGGCCTTTCCCCATTGGTGGTCTCGGCGGCGCGAGCCCGGAAGCGGACGGGGGCGGCGGCGGCGGCGGCGGCGGCGGAGGCGCCTTGGGCGGGCCGGGGTTGCGGCGCGGTCCCAAGACTCGGCTCGTACGGCCTGTGGCCTGGCAGCCATGCATCCCCCGGCCCCGGGCCCGCTAGGTGACTGCCTGCGGGACTGGGAGGAGCTGCAGCAGGACTTCCAGAGCCTTCAGGTGAGTGCCAGTGAGGGCGCCCATTGGTCCCGAGCCACGTCGCTCTGGCTCGAGGTCAAGGGTTGGGCAGCCCTGGGTCAGGCAGTGGGGGGGGGGGGGCTCGGGGTCAAGGGTCGGGGACGCTGGCATGGCTCCAGAGGGCGAGGAGACCCCGGGTGCTGGTGGCTGTAGCTGGACCCACCTCTCGGCCTCAAATGAGTGTCCGGCGGCAGCCCCATCGCTGGCACGGCCGCCGCGACCCTGGCAGGGACCCACTGCGCCTAGCGGACGTGGGGCCTTCTGCGGGGGCCTAGGAAAGAGGTCCCTGCCCCGTCCTTTCTCAGGAGAGCGGCTGCCTAAGTCAAAGCTGGCCGGGCCCAGTCTCGGGTCAGTCACTCCGCAAACATGTCCTGGGCGCCCGCGCGGCTGGAGCCTGAGCAGCGCCAGCAGCGCGGTCCCCGCCCTAGGGCAGCGCTGGGAGGTCTGGGCTGCCCTGGGAGGGAGCCCGGCTGGTGGGGCCAGGGGTAGTAGGATGTGTAGGTGAAGTGCCTGGGTGGGGGCGGGGCCCATTCCTGGGTGTAGGACCGCAGCTGCGGAGGCAGGACTATGTGGCTGCTTCTGTAAGAGTGAGAGGAGAAGTGGGCGTGCCAGATCCTGCAGGGACCTACCTCATGGGCCTGGACGGCGTTGGAACCTTTCTGATACCAGTTGGGAGCTGTGGGAGGAATTGTCTGGATCTGTCTAGTATGCCCCTTGTGCTGTTCTGTGGGGAGCCCTGTGGGGAGGGGTGAAGGCTGCTGGTCTCCTCTGGACGGGGGAAAGTGCCGTGGTAGGGGCTGGCAGATGTAGCACGTGCTGGGTTCTGAAGAGGGGTGTGGTGGCTCCTTTGGGCCATGAGAAACAAGACCTAGAAAGGGGGGAGCCTAGGCCATGGCTTTCTCTGTCTCCTGGACTGGTTCCAGCCCCTTCCTGTGTGCATGGAAGCCTTGTTGCCCACCGCAGGCCTGGCCAAGCCTGCTGCCACTAGAGGTTCTCCTGGAGTCCTGAGCAGGGCAGACCTGGTCTCCCAGCGCGGCCACCCCTGCCTGACCTTCCTCACACTGCCCCTGGTTGTCTCCGGCCTGCTTCTCTGGAAACTCACCCACCAGGGCAAAGTGCTCTGGGACGCTTTGGGCCAAAGGTGCTGGGGGAGGGGTAGAAGGACTGGTCTTACAGCCGGAGGTCTAAGGGCTGGAGCCTGATGACCTTTAAACTGGGAAGGAGATGCGGGGAGTGCTTAGCAGCAGGCGGCTTGGACAACCTCAGCTCCCCTGTGCTAGCAGGCTGGGTAGGCAGGAGGATCCGAGAGGACCAGAGTGGCTTCAGGCAGCCTGACTGGGCGAGAAGATAGGCCCTTGGGCCTATAGTCCAAACTCAGGGTGGGACAGAGAGGGATGGGAACAACCAGTAGATGGGCTTCCACCAAGAAATGCTTCCAGAAACTAATCTGTTTTCTGGGACAAGGGGGCGGTGATGGCTTTCGGGCTTTGAGGAGGAGCCCATCCCCTGGCCTGCTTCTGGGAGAAGACCGCCTCCTTTCTTGCTCAGACCCTCCCGAGGTGCCCTGGGGGCATCTGTGCCCCACCTCCCTGCCCAGCTGGGTGGGGGACTTCTGACCAGCCTGAGCCTGCCCTCCCCAGGAGACCCACCGGCTGTACCGCCTGAAGCTGGAGGAGCTGATCAAGCTGCAGAACAGTTGTACGAGCTCTATCACGCGGCAGAAGAAGCGGCTGCAGGAGCTGGCTCTTGTCCTCAAGCAGTTAGGACCCCCCCCGCCCCCCCCCCCGCCATGGCTCCCGTACCACCCTGGCCTAGGGCTGGCGAGTGGCTGTCAGATCTGGGGTTGGGGGAGAGCTGGCACTGACCCCTGAGTGTCCCAGGTGTGGCGTCTCCCCTCGCTGGGCCCTGTTTACCCTCCTGCCCCACAGGGGTCGGCTGGGGACACCTGGGGGCGCCCTGCTCTGACTCCAGCTTCTGTCCACCTGCAGATGCAAACCCTCCCTTCAGTCGGATGCCGAGGAGGCCGCACGGGAGCTGGAGAACCAGATCAAGGAGCGCCAGGGCCTCTTCTTCGATATGGAGGCCTATTTGCCCAAGAAGAATGGGTGAGAACCCCTTCCCCAAGCTCCGTTCACAGACGCTCCTTGGAGGCGGCCTGAAGCACGGTCTTCCTTTGCTTGGTTGCTTAGCCAGCAGATGTTCTCTGGGCTGAGCAGTCAGGCACAGCCCTGTGTCCGGGATATGGCACGAGTGACTGTGACAGCTCACTGAGATGGGTGATTTGGGGAGAGAGGACGGGGACTGGAGTTGAGGGGTCAGGGAAAGCATAGCGCATGATGGAGGGAGCCTGGCGGGCATGGGAGGCTGGAAGCTGCAGGTGCGACCAGAGCTCAGGGAGGGGGTGGGAGACCATAGGGGAAGCCAGGCCTCTGAGTTTGCTTCAGGCCGGTAGGCCGGGCAGACGGACCCTTAGATCAGCCACTGTCACTGAGGAGGGTGGCAGGGGACGGCATACAACCTTTGGCCGAGTAAAGAGCATCCAGCAGAGACCATAGACAGCAAGACTGCTGGGAAAGAGCATGTTCTGGAAGGAGGGGACAGCAGCCTCAGACCAGATGGCCCTGGGGGCGGGGGGCGGTCACATGCCATATGGAAGGGAAAGGTTTCCCGGAAGCCAGGGTGGCCTTGGAGAGAACCACTCCACAGGATGGTGGAGGTGGAAGTTGATAACAGGTGACGGAGAGCAGGGGGATGGGCACCTCTAGCGATTCTTCAAAAGCATGGCCGTGAATGGGAGGGGAGACCAGCAGCTGGAACTTGGCGTGAAGGGTGGGGGGTGCTTTTGCTGCGTGCGTGTGTTACTTTGTACCTGTGGAAGACCTGGGCGTATCTGCCTGCGGGGAGGTAGGGCCCTCAGTGTGAGAGACCCAGTAAAGGGGAATCCCTGGGGAGGCGGGAAGGGCTGGGCGTGGGCCCCTCTCATTTGTGAGGGGAGCAGGTGTAGAGAGGGTGAGGAGGTAGGCCCAGGAGATGTCAGTGGCCTGGAGGGACGGTTTAGCGAGGCCACCGCAGGGATGGCGTAGGGGGCTGGGGGTTAAGGGGTTGACAAAGTGGCTGACGTGTAAGGGGGGCTTGGGGACTCGGCTGGCTTGGGGGAAAGGAGCCTGGCGCTGGGGGGCCTGGAAGTCTCAGGGAGCCAGGGTCTGCATGGGGCAACCAGCCTGGGAGGCTGGGCACTTCAGGATCAGAGCACGAGCTGAATTTCTGAGGGGGCTCTTCTGAGCCAGGAGGGGGCCCAGGTGTGGGTTGCTGCTGCTAGCAGGAATGGGGGAGGGGATAGGGGGTGGCCGTGCACACAGGCATTGAGCTCTGTCCCTGCTCTCAGAGGCGATCTGAAATATGGGCTCTGGGCCCCGGGCCGGCTTCCGGGGGGGTGGGGGGGGCGAGAGCCAGGCTGCCCTGGAGGCCCTGAGTGGGGGAGCTTGGGGAGAGATGAGGGAGGTGATGCTGCTGGATTACCCTGGAGCAGGACTGGGGAGCAGGCGGAGAGGCTGGGCCTCGGTGTTTCCTTCCTCTCGAAGTGGTCCACAGCACCCCCGAGGTTGGAACCCTAGGCCAGGGCCATGGGAAGTCCAGGTAGGGATGGCGGCCCAGCTCTGCGCCGTTGGCTGCCCTCCTCGTCGGAGCCCTTTCTCACCCGGTGCCCCCCTCCCCTAGGTTGTACCTGAGCCTGGTTCTAGGCAATGTCAACGTGACACTCCTGAGCAAGCAGGCTAAGTAATTTGTTGTCGTGGGCGGGCTGGGTCCCCACCCTGCTGTCCACCGTCCTGGGTCCTTTCCATCGCGCCCCAGCTGCCCTGGCTAAGCCTTGGGGTGCAGGGGTCGCTGTTCCGTGTCAGCCCGCGCTGCCCTCGGAAGTGTGTCCGGAGCAGGAGCCTCCCTTCCGGGCAGAGGCGAGGGTGGGCCCCGCGGGCGTCCCAGCCTGTCCCACCAGTGTGTGTCCACCCAGGTTTGCCTACAAAGACGAGTACGAGAAGTTCAAGCTCTACCTCACCATCATCCTCATCCTCATCTCCTTCACCTGCCGCTTCCTCCTCAACTCCAGGTGGGTGAACTGCTCAGGACTGGGCCCCCTGCCGCCTCCAGGCTCTGGCACCAACCCTCTGTGCCCCCCGCAGGGTGACAGATGCCGCCTTCAACTTCCTGCTGGTCTGGTATTACTGCACGCTGACCATCCGAGAGAGCATTCTCATCAACAACGGCTCTCGGTGGGCAAGGGCGCGAGGGGGGCGCGGAGGGGCGGGTGCCCTGGGCCCCTCAGAAGCAGGCACTGGGTCGGGGTGCTGCCTCGGCCTTGCTCCCTGTCCCTGAGCACCAGTCCTCGGGGCTGCAGGGACAGGAGTGACACTGGCTTCTCTATACAGGATCAAAGGCTGGTGGGTTTTCCATCATTACGTGTCCACCTTCTTGTCGGGAGTCATGCTGACGTGGTGAGTGGCCGGGCTTGGCTCCCGGGCCCTGGGCGGGGGGAGTGTGGGACAGAAAGGTGGCACCCCTGAACTCCTTACCCTTCCCACTGCTTTCTACCTCAGGCCTGACGGCCTCATGTACCAGAAGTTCCGGAACCAATTCTTGTCCTTCTCCATGTACCAGAGTGAGTACCTAAGAGGGCCCCGCTCGGCTCCGGAACCCCCCTTGGGGGGGAGGGAGGCGGGCTGAGGACTTGGGGCCCCAGCCTCGTTCTGATGCCCCCCACCCCAGGCTTCGTTCAGTTTCTGCAGTATTACTACCAGAGCGGTTGCCTGTACCGCCTGCGGGCCCTGGGCGAGAGGCACACCATGGACCTCACTGTGGGTGAGTCGGGCGTGGCCGCCCGCTCTGGAACCCTGACGGGGGGCCGGAAGGGGAGGTCCTTTCCTGTCCACGCGGCTCTGAGAGACTGTGTCCATCTCCGTCCTGCCTTTCCTCCCTGCAGAGGGCTTCCAGTCCTGGATGTGGCGGGGCCTCACCTTCCTGCTGCCGTTTCTTTTCTTTGGACACGTAAGTGGTCTCTGTCCCCGAGCATGTGGCTGGGTGTCCCCGCGTCCTGGCTTTGGGCTTGAGTGGGGACTGGGATCTGCTGTTTGAAACCCTTCATCCCTTCCAGTTCTGGCAGCTTTTTAACGCGCTGACGTTGTTCAACCTGGCCCGGGATCCTGAGTGCAAGGAGTGGCAGGTGAGCTGGGGCTGGGGAGGCATGCCGGGGAGGGCCAGCGCCCGCCCCCCCACCCGCCCTGACCTCACTTCCTCCCCCAGGTGCTTATGTGCGGCTTCCCCTTCCTCCTCCTCTTCCTTGGCAACTTCTTCACCACCCTGCGGGTTGTGCACCAGAAATTCCACAGTCAGAGGCATGGGAGCAAGAAGGAATGAGTCTGGGCTTTCCCTCGCCTGCCCGGCTCCCTACGGCACCCCTGGCCTGGAAGGGGCTTCTGGCCCCTGTGTTGAGGGGGTAGGGGGCTCCCCTCATCCGGGAGGGTCTCTTCTCTCCCTGGGGTTTTGTGGGCTCTGTGGGCCCCAAAGGCTGTGCTGAAGAGGAACAGGCCCAGGCCTGCGGGCAGCTGGGGGCCAGCAGCCTCAATAAAGGAAGAGCAGCACAGAGGTGGCTTGAGGTGTGTGCTCTCCGAAGGGTGAGGTGGGGGCCCCTGTATCACCACGGCATGGGTTCTTGGGGGGGGGGTTCTGAGTAGACCTAGGGGAGGCTCCGGATCTGCTCAAGCAATAGCAGTCAAAATACAGAAAACAACTTTATTCCAAGGATCAGAGATTATTTAAAATTATTTACAGTCATTGAAAATAATGGGGAGGCGCTGGGCCCCAGCTCAGCTGAGAAGAGCCCCTTCCATACAGCCACCAAGGGCTGGAGATGTTCACAAAACACAGGCCCCTGGGGCCTCCCCTGACCATGCATCCTGGGGCCAGGGTGCTCCAGAGGGTGCATCTGGGGCCTGGGCGGGTCTCTGTCCCTTGGCCCGCCTGCCCCCCTGCGGCGAGGCCGGGCAGAAACCAGCCAGCAGACTGGCGGAAGGGAGCGAGGGAAGTGATTACACGGGGAAGCGAGTCTGTGGGGCCTGAGGGGACGGGCCGCCCCTAGCTCCACACGTCCAGGGAGTAGCGGCCCTTGGTCATCAGCTTCTTGACGTAGTCCACGGCCTGGGTGTGCTCCATGGCCCCCATCTCAGCCACGATGTCGTAGAAGGTGTTCTGCACGTCCCTCGCCATGTTCCGAGCGTCCCTGGGGCAGTAAGGAGGTGGTGCTGGGCCAGGGCGCCCACCACCCCAGGCCCCGGGGCCAACAAACCCCACCTCTCCCCCTCCTCTCCCCCTACTCACCCGCAGACGTAGATGTGGGCACCCCCTTCGTGGATCAGCTTCCACAGGTGCTCCTTGTCCCTTTTCAGTAAGTGCTGTACGTAGACCTGGGGTGGGGGGTAGAGGCAGCGCAGTGATGAGGCAGGTCCCACGGCCCCGCATCCTGGCCCAGAGGGGCTGCCCAGGCCCTCACCTTGTGGGGCTGCTCCCGGGAGAAGGCCACGTTGAGCTGCGTGAGGGAGCTGTCCTTGTGGAACTGAGTCAGCTCCTCGCGGTACAGGTAGTCCTCATCGGACCGGCGGCAGCCGTAGTAAAGCAGCGTCTCCCCCACGTCCTTGCCTGGGGTGGTAAGCAGGGGGTAAGCAGGTACCCGGGCTTGAGGAACCTTGTGGAACCCCGCCCACACCCACACAACTCACCCTGCTGCCGAAGCCAGGCCCGCTCCTGGATGAAGCCTATGAAGGGGGCCACCCCCGTGCCTGGGCCTACCATGATGACAGGGGTGGTGGCCTTGAAGGGCAGGCGGAACTGGGACTTGCGCACGAACATGGGCACCAGGGCCCGGCGGCCGTTTTCCCCGGCAGGCTCCTTGGCCCGCAGCCAGCTGGTGGCCACCCCCTTGTTGATGCGGCCAGACTTGGTCTCGTACTCCACGGCCACGGCACAGATGTGCACGGAGTTGGGGTGGACCTGGTGGGGGTGGGATGGGTGAGGACGCCTGAGGCCCCTTCCCTCCTGTGCCCCCTGGCCCTGTCACCCAAGTCTTCTCAGCTTGGGGGGTTCTGCTCAGGGCCCTTCTCACCCTTCGTGGTGCCCAAATCTCAAAATCCCCTTTCCAGCAGCTGTCCTGGCTGGCTCAACACTGGCAGAGAGCCGTTCACGGTCTCGTGGTCCAGCCCGCTGGATATGCGGTGTTTGGGGCAGAGCTGGGGCCACGGGTCAGGGCACCCCCAAGCTGTGCCCTCCCTAAGTGAGCTGGGCCCCGCACCTTGGAGGATGAGGCAATGGAGTAGTAGCGGGCCTGGAGACGAGGCAGCAGCTCACACAGGTGGTCGATGGGGGGCCGCAGGGATGGGTAGTCCTGCAGGATGGCCAGGATGTGCCGCCGAGCCTCCACCACCCAGCTCAGGTACAGCTCCTGGGGAAGACCAAATGCAGGGTGAAGAGGGGCTGGGGGAGTGTGCTGTGGCCCAGGCGACAGGGCTGAGGTGGTGGCGGCGGCAGGCCTACCTTGCCCTCGCCTGAGGAGGACGCCATCTTGCGCAGGTGCTCCTGCTCAGAGGGCTCTGAGGCGTACTGTGCCAGCTCATAGAGCACATTGGTGCGTGGAGGGTTGGTGATGTCCAGGTAGTAGGTAAGGGCCGTGCGGTAGGAGGTGGGGCAGGGGAAGGGGTGCTTCTTGTTGGACTCCTCTGCAGGGAGAGGGGAAGAGCATTTGGGGTTATTGGCTGCTGAGCAATCTGTCCCACAGCCTGAAACCATGGGGTCTTGGGTATGAGGTCCTAAGCAGCTCAACCTAGCTATGGCTTTGCCAGGGGCCCATTCCTGCCTGCTGCCTCTGGCCCCGGGCTGGAGGGAGGGCAGCCTCCATTCCAGGACTCACCATCCAGATTGTTTAGGGACATGATGACGTCCAGGTCGGCACCCAAGATCTCGCCAAGCTGGTTGACCAGGGCAGAGTCATTGGCTGGGTAAACGGCCACGTGGTCCCCAGATTCATACCTGTGGTGGAGGATTCGAGGCTCAGGAGGGGGTGGAAGGCAGGGTCAGGAGGCTCTGGGAGGGGTGGGTTGGGGGAGGGGAGGCTGCCAGCACCTGAGTTTGGAGTCTGAGATGTCTAATTCCAGGTGCATGAGGTGTCGCTCAGTTCCCTGGTTCAGCTTCCGGTTGGTGGTGACCTCAGCCAAGAACGGATTCTTGGCATCAAAGGGGCTGGGTGGGGAAGAGAGCAGCTCAGTGATTGGCCAAGCCCTCAATCTGAATCTCCCTGCCCCCAAGGGACCCTTCTGGTTTCACAGAACACAGGGAACCTTAGAGCTGGCCTCCAAGGGCCCCAGGAAACCTCTCCAATTATGTAAAAGGTTCTCCCAGCCCGATCTGAGGCAGTGCCCTCAACGCCCCCCAGAAGTGGGCAGAGCTAGGTCATCAGTGTCTCCATTTACAGATCAGGAAACTGAGGCTGGCCCCTAAAAGCCAGGGAGACCCTCCACCCATTACATGTTTGTGGGCTGAGTGCACAGGAGGGCCAGGCCCCTGTAGACAGCTCCCCACGACAGAAGGTGCCTGGGCGCCGTGACCCTGCAGCAGAGCTCCTTCACCCCGCCTGGCCCGGACAGTGCGCCTAGTTTTACTTCGCAGTCACTGAAATGTTGGGTTTCCTCTTCAAGCAGGGCCACTGGTCTTAAATCCTCAGGGTGGCAGGGGTACTTGTCCTGGGCGGCTCCAGGAGTCTGGGCAGCAAGTCGGGGGCCCGAGAGAGAACAGTGTTTTTGGATAAAAAGTCCAAATACAGAGGCAGTTTTAAGGAAGTTGAGTCCTTGCCACCAAGGTTCAAAGTGGAGCCATGGCCCTATGCCCGATGTCCTGGTCCAGGCACTGGTAGGGGCCTCCCCACCTTGTTTTACTTAGAGTAAAATGTCACATTAAGTACAAACTGAGCAAGTGCCCATCTCCTGGCGGTCATGCCCCGGCCTGGGGGACCCCTGGGAGAGAGCGGGGGTAGGGCCTGGGTACAGGGCTGCGTCTTCCTCTGCCTTATGCCCTCCTGTGTGGTAGAGGCAAACCCGTGGGCCCACACCCACACTCACTCACAGGCAAGGGTAGAGATGGGGTCCGGGGGGGGAAGGGCCTGTGGGGACACAGGACTGCCAGCTGTTGGGGGCACCTCGGCCCCAGGCCCCCAATCACGCTCTCGACTCACGGTTTCTGGTTCTCGTAGCTCTTCAGTCGGCCCATCTCTCCCATGTACACCTTGGCCTTGTCGATGTCTGAGTGGACCACGAGCTCATACTGGCGAATGCTGGCAAGGGGAAGCAGGGTGAGGTGGGGGGGTCTGGGGAGCCTGGGGTGCCGCAGGCTTTGAGAAGGTGAGGAAAGCCCCCCTGGTGCCTGTCCCTCTCAGGCAAAGCCCAAATGCCTTAACGCGGGCCCCGGGACCCCCTCGTTCTGTGACTGAGCGTCTGCCAGCTCCCAGTGCCCAGTGGGCCACGTTTCCCGCCCCTGCGTGCACACACGCACCTGGACTCCTCTCCGGTGGCCTCCACCCCGAAGTGTTCGCACACGGCCGGCCAGAACTGCTCTCGCCACGTGATGAAGTCTTCTTCCAGGCTGGTGGGGGCAGGGGAGGGAATGAGGCCGGCCCCAGGGAGCCCTTCTCCCTGCCCAGCCTGGGCCCCCCCAACCCCCCGACCCTGGGGTGGAGCCCGAGGCGTCTGGTGGCATTTAGGGCGTCTATGCTAAGCAGGGGAGGCTCGGAGCCCAGAGGATGTGGAAAAGCAAGGGCGGAGTCACCGCCTTCCCTTGGCCTTGGTGATGCCTGTGGGAGCTTCTTGGACATGTGGCTTTGCACTCCCCTCGTGTGCCATGGCCGGCCCTAACCCTGCAGGCTCCTGAGGCATGCCGCTGGGGACGGGGGCCCGGACACTCACTTCCCGTCATCATCGCCCATCCCCAGCTCGAAGATCCGCTGGGCGCCGAGCTGCTCCAGCCGCTTGTCCACGTACTTGCCCATGGCGTTGAAGTGCTCGTAGGTCTTGTTCCCGAGACCAAACACCTGTGTGGACAGAGGGACGGGTCTGAGGCCTGCTCAGTGGTCGGGTTGGTTTCCCAGTGCCGGCCAAGCTGCTATCCTGCACCCTTGGGCCTCTACACCCGCCAGGCAACTTGCACTGTGAGGCGGGCCACCTTTGGCCCCTGGAAGCGGCTTTGTTTAGGTGACATGCGGCCCCTAAGCCTCAACCCTGGGTGGCCAGCAGGGGCGATTCACCCTCCCTGCCCGGCGCTCCCGGCCCAGCCTGTGGGGGTCAGCCTGCTCCACCGGCTCGCCTTTACCACAAGCAGTGCTCCTGGAGCAAAGCGGAGCTGTGTGGGGGAGCAGATGCTCGCAGTGTGGGGGCCCAAGGGCGCCTTCCCTGGACCTCCCTGCCAGGCCCCCCGCTCAGCCTATGTCCTGACACCCCGGCCTGGTGGGAACTGAGGGTCCAGAGGCTCCTGAGAGGCGCTGTAAGCTGTGAGCCACGGGAGGTGGGGTGGGGGTGTACTCACCGCATACTTGACTCCAGAGAGGTCCAC